CACTTAGATGTAGATGGCTGCTGTCATGCAATGCTTCCTTCTCTCAGTGCAAAGTGTCTGATATGTTTTCAACCAGTAAAAACTTGGTTACAAATCTGGTCATCATTATTATCTGTGCATTTTACTATGCAATGCAATAAATTGTTGCAATGCAATGCAAACTTGCAGCAAAGAAGACTTAGGAGAAATATTATGCAAAGATAGTTTGGCAAGCAAACAGAAGGCCTATGGGCTGTGAAATACTCTTCACTGATTTTTTTCCTGAGTATAATGTTTAAACTTCCCTCAAATTGGAAGATGGAATAAATCACCTTTGGTAACTTTTACTGCTTCATGTCTATAGACTTGTTATCTGACATTATGCCTCATAAGTGAGGAAAAGCTCAGTCTTGGTTTTGTCCTATTCCAAGTAGCATGATCCCAAACAATTCCTGACCATGGTTCAGGGGCTGGTTTAGGCCAGGGCCAGCTACATACCAATAGGCAGTTTAGATTTAGCCTCCATTTTCTGGAGACTGGGAAAGTTTAATAGTGTGGACAGGGTTAGACATGTCAGTTGGCCTGAAGGCCAAAGAACAGGCTCTGCTACCATTTAATTTGTTTGTATTGATGTCACCCAAGAGTTTGTTTGACTTAGGGAGAAAGGTGTGCTTTCAAGCAGATCTGAAGCCACACCTAATTGTGTAGGCTGACACCATCCTTGAAGTCAAAAGATCCGTGGACATTAAAGCAGCAGCATTTCTTCTTGAGACTGTTTCTGGAATCACAATTTCTCTTCCATTCAAACTTCCAGGCTTATGATTCCAGGTCTAGAAATCATGGTTTTGCTTACTTCTATAACTATACCTCTAACTAACCAGCCCAATACCTTTGTCTTGGATAAACACAGAAGGGAAACAGTGTCACTGCTGGAATCCTGGCTTTGCATCATGGCAGCAAGGCCCATGCCTGAAGACACGTGTAGCTGAATCTAACCAACATTTATTACCAATAAATGGAGATTTACATTACCACCATTCATGCCTTCCATTAAAAGCTTTATTAATAAAAAGTTAATATGAACTGGAAGAGGAAATTCAATCATCAATATATATTCCAAGTTCTTATCCAAGACATATGCCAAACAGCTTTGTCCAGTTGTCTAAAGTCAGTTTCAGACAGTCCCATCAGTATTTCAGTCTTTTCTGCAATGGTAGTGAAGATACAACTGTAAGGAAGGTTGCTTCAAAATATCGGGCAAATTTTGATTATATTGCTGGAGCTGCTGCAACACAGGTCCTTTCCACTAAACAAGCAGTAAGAGAAGGGCCAGCCTAACTAACTAAATATTAGAAAATTGTAGGAAATATTAGGAAATATTGACCTGTGATTTTCTCAAGGCATAACCATATGCTAAAAATGGATATCAAGGAAACGTATCAGCAGATGATGTCAGCTTAGATCATCATATGTGGGCTAGTCGATGAACACTGCAAAAATGGATTTCTTCAAATCTGTCTTTTGAAAAAACATCAGTTTCTAATACATAAATGCACAAGCTCATAGGGGATATTAACTAAAATAATGTATAATATGACTCAGGTGAGTAGGGAGAGCTGTAGTAGCCTGAGCTTGAAATAGATGAAGACACTGAGAGGACCCACAAGGTGTAGTAAATTCTAATATATAAGTAGTAAGTTCTAGTCTATGCACAAGCAAGGAGAGTGAAGAGTTGGCTGGGTGAGCAAAGGATCCAGTGATTCTCACTGGCAATTGATGCTCCTAAAATATTTTAGATGGATCAAGATTAGCATCTAAAAGGTAAGAGTAAATTAATAGTTAAGTCAAAATTATTTCTCATTATTTCCACTTAATGTCTACACTTATTTTGCTAAATCTTTTTATTCAAATGTAATGTATTTGAATAAATTACTTACGTGCCTTGTAGACTTCTCTGTCTCCTTTTATAGATAACTGTTGGGGTTTTCTGCCAGTCATTTTAGCTGTTCTTGTTTTCCAATGCATTATGCAAAGCAGCACAAGTTTTGTTTCTGCTCACTGAACTGAGAGCTACGCTTATTGTGAAGTTCAATCAATTTAAAAATCGCTACTGGAATATACATATGAACTTATATTTAACTCAAAAGATCAAGGTCATTTTCTTCCTGCTCTTTGCTAGCCTTTCTAATCAAATATTATGTATTTAACTGGGAGGTGCTGACCTATGGATAAAAACTAAAGGAAGCAGAACAATGGGGATTCAACAATATTTAACACTGTATCTCAGTATGATGAGACCTCTAAGAGCACGCTGCTATCAAAGGGTGTTTGATTGAGGGAATGCATTGTCTTTTCTGAAAGAAAAATATCTGAAGTTCCTTTTGGCCACCAGATAGCAGTACTTCACTTCATATGGTTCTCAGCTCACAGCATTCCTTGCCTTGTTGAAAAATCCATATATTGGATCCTGAACTCTTGCTCAGGTATATCTTTTGCAGACTTCATGATAGACTTCAGTTGTAGAAAAAAGATTTTGGAATTAGGAATAGAGATGATTTATGTGTTCAGGAGGAATCAATATTGCAGCTTTCCTGAATGGGGAAAGTTGGTTGTATAAATCTAATGGAGTGTTAGGCATTACAATTTCCAATGACAAAGGTTTCAATTAAAGTCTTGGGCTTAAAATATTTTTAGCATTTCTCCCTTGCTGACAGTACATTTCCTTATTTACATTAGTACTTCAGGAATATTTCAAAAGGGCTTTTTTTTGGCCTCCAAACATAAACTCTACAGAGTTTTACTATTTCTGTAATTTACAATTTCTGCCAAATGTTTTTAAATCCTGGTGGTTTTCATTTTTAAATAGAGCAACAGACTTTAAAATATTTTTAGCAAAAACAAAGATACCCTCATTTTCACTGAAACTTTTTAAAACACCAAAAGTGCAATACAGTGTATAATAATAAAAATAAAAATAATAATAATAGTCAGTTGTATCATGCTGTATTTGTTCATGTCACCTTATAAGAATTGTGCATCATCTTTTTTTGCAAACCTCAGGCAAGATGCCCAAGTAGAGAGAATGGGAAAGGCCATCTGACTGTTATTCTCTCATTCTCATCTGTACTGGTGTTGACATTTAAGTGTCTCAGCTGCTGCTTCAACCTGGAACAGCCAGTTATGATCCCCATGGGATCATGCAACAGCTGTATCACTTCCTTTGCTCCCAAAAAAGATGGGAGAGATAATAATGGCAACCATCTCTGTCAGATTCACACTAGAATATTCTTTGCTTTAGCTATTGTAGAGCCCTAACTGGATTTCCTTCATTTTTCATCTCCTCCAGAGAATTTGGTGTCAGAATCATGTGAGCCCTGACTTTATTGTTGTGATTCACATGACTTCTCTCACAGGGAATTTCACTTTTCTGTAGTGTTGGGTTTATCTACTGAATGGAAAGGTGACCTTCCCTGCCATTTGTGAGTCATTTAATTCTGACAACCAAAACTAACTGTTGGCAAGGCAAAAAAGTAGTGATAGAAATGTTTTCAGCTTTGTCACTCCTCTGTCATTTTAAATCCTCCACAGTTCTCTTTTTTCTCTCCTTATATCTCCATAATCATGAAAATCCATCTTCTGGCATCCAGCTTTCAGCAGACAACCAGTGAATATTCAGAGACATAAGACCATAAGTTTGTTGACGGTTTCCATAGTCACTCTATTGACAGACTACGTCTCTTATAGTTAAGGACTGGACTATGATTATGATCAGAATGAAGGAAATGTTGCTTCAGAAGTGCTTCAGGCTTATCATAGCTCTTTTGTCCTGGTGTAGAATATGGACTGATATCTTGGGTGGTACAGCTTACAAAATGCCTTTATTTCTGGAAAAGTAAAATAACTGTAGCTTTGTTGGGCATTCTGAAGGAAATAATGAAAGGCTTAGTTTGGAATGAAATATTCTTGTCCAACAGAAGTCCCAGCACCTGGCTCTACAGTGAGGTTCTATAATGAATCTCTCCACATTTTCTATGCTTGTGGTCTGAGTTCTAGCAATGCCCTTGGAAGCTCTTCAAAACCAGTCCAGCCCCTGAAGGTGGCCAATGAGTTATGTAGTGCTGGACCTGGGTATCTCCTCACACTTTGTCCTGAGATAAACACAAATCTATCCAATTTTGAAACCTGTTGATTTGTCTGAGCCAACAGAGAATCTTGCTCCTCTTTTAAATAGAAATAACTGCTTTGTGACAATAGAACTGGCACGAGTGTCTCTTTTTTGTAGTTTATAAAGTGGACACAGACTATTTTTATTCAGTTGTCCACACACTGAGACATCAGAATGGGTGTGTCAGGGCCTCACCAAATCAATCTTCAGCCAGCCAAGGGGGGAGATACAGCATTTACTGTGGAGAAGGTAGAACCTCACCTACACAGAGGCTACAGCTGGAAGAACTTTGTGTTCCACTTGTTACATAGGTTTCTTTAAATAATAATGGTAATAATAAAATATTTAGATCCAAATTGCAATAGATTGAAATTGCAACCTGTGGTCTGAAGCCTGAGCACTAATGGTGAGGCAGCTTCGAATAAGATGGGATCTTAACTCCCCAGCTTTTTTCCCCACTGCTCCCGCCATTTAGATATATTTACAGCTGCTTTTACCTTTTCTTCTTTCACTCACTATTTTTTTTTAAATGGAAAAAGCATGGTGTTTTTCTAAACATAAGCGTTTCTCTGGAGTTACTGCAGCTCAAGCGCCACAGCCCTGTGCCAGTCCCTCCATACCAGAACACGACGCCGACACTAGAGAGGGGCCAGCGCCTGTAAGAGCCCAAGGGGGCGGGCAGCGCTCCCGGCTCTGTCGGAGAGGGGCCGGCAGGGGCAGCCCGGGCAGGGGGAGCGGAGCCCGCAGCGGCGCGGGACGAGGGGCGGCAGCGACCCGCGGGGCCCCGGCGGGCCTGGGGGGCGGGAGCAGAGCTGTGGGGCGGAGGAGGGAAGGCGGCGGCGGGGCGTCACGGGAGCCCGCGCTGCTATAAAAGGGCCGGGCGCGGCGGAGCGGCGCATCCCTCTCGCCCGCAGCCACAGCGGCAGGAGCAGCACCAGCATCGCGGCGGGACAGCACCAGATGGGCATGGGGACGGCGCTGGCGGCGCGGCTCGGCCTGGGGCTCCTGCTCCTTGCCCTCCTCCTCCCCACGCAGGTGAGCCCCGGAGCGGCTCGGCGCTTTCCCTCCGCCGGCCCCAGGGCGAGCCGCGGCAGCGGCGGAGCTCCCGGTTTGCGCCGTCCCGAGCCCGGGGGCGGCGGGCGGCTCCTCCGCCCCGGGGCGGCGGCGGCGGCAGGAACCAGCCCGGGCAGCCCCGGCTGCGGGCGGGCGGGGATGGGCGCGGGCGGGCGGCGGGGCGAGCCCAGAGCCCTGGGACGGCGGTGGCGGTGCCGTGGATTACCCCGGTCAAATCCAAAAAGACTAAGTTGGAGTTGGCCGCCTTTTTTTTTTTTTTTTTTTTTTTTTTTTTTTCCCCCCGTGGGATCCTCAAGGGAAAGCCGCGGAACCGCGGAGTGAGCGACAGCTGAGCGTTCATTCGCCCGCTGATTAGAGGGAGAACGATCCCTCCAAACTCGAGAGCGCCCGGGAAGGCACGAGTTTTGCAGCGGGACCCGGGGCTGATCTTCCCCCCCACCGAAGGTGCGGGGTTTTGGGTCTGGTGCTGGGCTCGGCTCTCGGCAGGAGCGGGAGGTTTAGGGGCTGGAAGCAAAGGCGCCAGCCTCTGGCTGCTGCGCTGGACGAGACTTGCCCTTGGCGCAAAGGTAATGGATGCAGGAGCGATCCGCTTCTCTTTAAGTGGCCAAGCCGAGCGGGGCTCGCAGGCTCCGTATCGGTGTGTTGTTCCTAGAGACCACCTCTTCAGAAGGATGAATAGCACAGTATCCGAAAAATAAACAGCAACGGCATTGCTGCATCGTGTTCCCTCCTCCTCTCCTCTTTGTTTGCAAGGAGGGGCATTATCCCTTCTCCTTTGTGCTCAGTGGAGTCTTGCCCTTGGCAGTGATTGAGAGAAGGATCGGACCCTTTGGGTTACCCGTATTTATCACATTCACGTTGAGAAAACCTCTGGGGTCCCATCTACTGTGATGCTGGGGAACTTGGACATAAGCCCATTCTCTTCCACCAAAAAAAAAAAAAAAAAAAAAAAAAAAAAAAAAAAAAAATTGAGCAACTAGTATTGTGGGTTTTTTTTTTAAAACCAAGGAAACTTAAAATATACATAACCAAGGGTGGAAAGATTGTGGAGTCTTTGTATGAAGACTGAAAAAAATTCCAGGGCAGGCTGGCACTTGCCTTGTAGGTTATTAACTCAGCAATTCACTATTGATCACTTTCAGACCGGTTTTAACAGAAACTTCAACACAGCAATTTTTTTTCTGCAGTCCTAAATTGCTTCCAGCATGGTGCCGATTGCCAAAAATGCTAAATACCAGAAGCGTTATACCATTCTTACATTTTTTCTATTGTGTGGGTTTTTTTTTTAAGTAGGAAATACAAAAAGAAAGTGCTTATGCAATTTTCTAATTAATTTAACATTGGCTTCATTGCTTCAGTATTGAGGGGTTGATTTTTTTTTTTCCCCTGCTAATGTATTTTCTCAGCAGCACTAGAAACATGAGAAAATAAGGACACCTTTTGTGGACAGAATTACTTATTAAACTAACTAACCTCCTTAAAAATATATGTATAGTTTTATTTGAATTAAGTCTAAGAGCTTACCAGAATGCTCTGGTAGAATACAAGTTTACTGCCATGGAGTTGTAGTCAAGCTTTCTGTATTATGCTGTTTTTTGGGGATGAGATAATGTGATTCTTGCTCTTGTTTTTCATTCTTGTGTCTCACAAGTTTTTTTCCACAGGAATAAAAATGCTTTAGGTTATCTTTGAAAATTTTCCTGTACATATGTAGGAAATAACTTGATATTGAGGTTGCACAGAGTGCAAGTTTTTGTTCTGTCCCTATAATGCAGAGTTACGAGGGGAAAGGATATTTTTTTATTTTGATTTCTGTCAGCATTTTAAGAATTTGCTAATATATAGTCTTTTCACTGCACTTTTTTTTGTGTCTTCAAGAATGTCAATAGCTTGTGATTTAATCAGTATGGTTTCATTGTTCTAACTTCTGCAGTTCAGTGCTACCACACCAAGATAAGAGAGGTTGAAGTATTAAATCCACTCACATTAAGCCCCACCATTTCTTCAAAGGAAGCCACAAACCAGCCCCAGAAACAGTATCAATAAATTCTTGACCACTGTTTCCTCATATTTTTGTTTGTGACTTAGTCTGCACACGTAGACTGCAATTCACACAGTTGTTTGAAAGTCTTTCTTGTCCTAAGATTTGCCTTTACATAGCTCTACATTTGCACTTTTTTTTTCCTGAGTTTTTTTTTTAAACCTATGTGTCTTCTAATTTAGGAAAGGATTAAAGGATTTACATAAAGTAATAGTTATGTAAATACACTTAGAAAAATATTAGATTTATCTTTAACATACCCTACACGTGCAATTCAAAATGTCTTTGTCCTTAGCTGCACAATGAAAGGCGTGAGCATTTGTATATGTCATTTGAGTGCTGTGGCTGAGGGAGGCTACACAGTGTTTGTTGCTACTACTATGTATTCTGATTTTTAAGAAGAGACAAAATAACCCTTTGTGTTACTTCCCCTCCTTTCCACATTCTAGATCTACTGTGGAACAACTACCAATGGAACAAGTCCAACACCTTCAAACAGTTCTTCAACAAGTTCCACTTCTCTGTCAGCTGTCACAAATTCACTGAACAGTACCACCACTCACGGACATGGAAATTCTCTTCACTCAACCACAAGTCTTTTTTTCATTCTCTCAGTTTCTCTTACGTATTTTTGCTGTTAAGAGACTCTGGCATGGAAATGGCTACCACTCCCCACCCCGTTTCCTGAACCGCCTGAGATGGCCAGATCTCCAACCCAGCATGAGAAGAAATCAATCCAAACTCCACATCAAACCAGCCTGGTTCCACTCCATACTCAAATTATTACCAGTCTGACCTAGAGAAACACTCAGTATTCTGACTTTCAAAGCTGACCAGTGTGAAAAGATCTGCTTCAGCAAGGAGGTAAAATTATGAGCTCTTTCACCAAATGAGTTGGAATCTGAAAAACAAGATGGAAACAAAAAGAGACAGTACTGACAAACCAAATTTAAAGCTGAGAAGAAATAGAGTATCTTATAATAAGGATGGATAATAACGCTCCATGAAGAAAAAAGGCTAGAGTGTTTATCTACCATTTAGAATAAGGACTTCAATATTTTTTATTTTTTTAAGTTCAAAAACATCAACAGGCTCACAGAATCCCTAGAAAACAGAGAAAAGCTCAAATAATACTGTTTCTTGCACAGCCTGTATGGTTATAACTTAAGAGTATTAGGATGTGTGAAAAAGAAACAACACCAGTGAAAAGGGTTTCTTCCAGATTTCTTTTATATTAAATTGTTACAAGGCTAAAATAGAATAACAAATTTTTGCAAGAATCCCCTTATTTGTCCCCTAATTCCTAACTAAATGGTTAGCCAGGAGGGCTAGTTTTGAATTAGCTAAAACCCCACCAGTTTTCATAAGAGTGGAATTATTTATGGTGGGAATTTGAATTTGACATTTTATTTAAATTGTTTGCATATTAAACCATATGTGCCAGAGAAAGGAGGTGTGGAAACACTAGAAAAAGTACCAGGAGCTTTTTGTAAATGAAATTCAGAAAGAAAAAACAAAAAAGTCAATGGATATATGTCTCCTATTTCCTTTATTTCTCCTCCCAAGTTGTATAAGATTTTTGCTCCTGGAACTTTCCTTAATTATGAAAATTATGAAGGATTTATGAAATCTTATGAGTAATGTTATAGTCTTGCTTTTTTTTTTTTTTTTTTTTTTTTTTTTTTTTTTTTTTTTTTTTTTTTTTTTTTTTTTTTTTTTTTTTTTTTTTGGCACAAGGTGAATAACCTACTGGTTTTTCAAGAGTTTTAATTGTGAGTCTACTTTAAACCTGGGCTAATATTTGTGATGGGGAGAAGGAATGGGGAAAGGAGAGCAAACCGCCAAAAAAAAAAGAAATTAAATGAACAGGTGTTTAGAATATGAAGACTGGAGTCTTAATTTAATCACTGAATTTAAAAATTACCTTTGTAAATACTACTTTTTAAAATTTTTTTTCTGAATCAAAATTGCTACACTTGCACAGATTGTTTCTGTATCATCCAACATATTAGAAAATATTATCTGGTATTTGATCTTAGCAAGCTTTGTTGAGGAGGTTCACCTACCTTGATGATGATATCTTGTCAGAAAAAAATTAACTATGTTGATATGATCAAATGTGAATGTACACGATCATACCACTGTCTGTAGATATTTATCTCAGTATAAGATCATGTCAAACATGAGTGGCTCTCTAATTTTTTTAAATACACATCTGTCTTTCAGTTATATTATCACCGATTCACAGTATCATATATTAGTAGCAAGCTAACACAAATTCATGTCAGTGAGCATACATGGACATTTCCTTACGCTTATCATTTGTATCCAGTTAAGTGTTAATGATTGTATTTTGTGTTTGTGTAATAATGGTTTGATTTATTAGCTACTGATTTTCATTGAAAAAACCTGTAAATAAAACAGTGGACAGGCAATGCATTCTAGATGCACTTCCAGACACTTCTACAAAAACTTGTACCTTGCCTGTGTTACGTGAATGAACTGTTAAGCAAGATGGTATATGTGATTAAAAACCTCAAGGTCTAGAAATGCTGACGTGTAATTAGTTTTATTTCTCTGGAAGGTTTTGTGCCACTGGGAATCTGGATTTCGCTTTGAAACCAGAGAGTGAGATTTGGTTAGCATCTCTAGTAACTGTAGTAAGTTTTCCATGCTTATTACAGCCTCTTCCCTTTCAAAGTATGACTATGTTTTCATGTTAGGCAAACAGTGCTAAGACAGAGTTTTCTTTATTTCTTTTGTTGGCGATGGGCAGTTTTCCTTATGATGGCTAAATCTGTTTCTCAGCTTCTGGTTATCGAGCAATGTGAATTAACTGCTTAAGGTTTCTGCCTCCCACAAACTACACTAATAGAGTAGGTATATCCCAATAATACAAGTTGAACCATGCTTGATGAAGGACAGAGACTGGAAGAAGTAGGAATTTATGCAAAAATTGCTTTAAAGCAAAAATTAACCGGATAAGCATTCAGTAACAAATAGTTGCAGTTCATGACGTTCCAAAATTGTGTCTGTGTTGCTTTCCAGGTATGTTCCTAACACCCTTTAAAGGTCCAAGGTTGTTCTCTGTGGTTACCTTCACTCCCTACATGTGGAGAAACACATTTCCAAGTGCCTAAGCACTTAGGCATGCTTAGGCTGCATTTGGCAGTGGGAAAGAGGCCCCTGGAGAGGCCTCCCAGGGCTGCCGAGGGAATGCAGCGTGGCGGGCCTTTGCTCTGTTCCTTTGCTTTTCCAGTAGGCTGAGCAAACCAAGGAGCAGGGCAAGTTTATCAAAGCTGGCTGTTTAACTAAATCTTAGAACGTGCAGGGAGTATCAAAGCACATTGTTCCTTTGTTTAGCTTTTCTCCAAATGCTCCAAGAGAAAGCAGGAAGATCAACCAACAAACCCGGCTGTGTACCTTTTTTAAAAACATAAAACTAAAAATAACCTCTCCAAAGACAGGCAGACAAGGAAAAAGGCTGCAACAATGGGTCTTAATTCTATGATATGCCAGTACAATAAAAGAAGTAAACAAATTTGTTGGAAGTTTTTGCAAAATAATCTGACATAATGGATGTTTGGCTGAATTGGTGCCATGCTTTTTTCAAAGTCTTAATTTTATTTTTTTTATTTGAGAAATAGAGGCAGATTACTCTTTAATAGCATTTAAGCTATTTAAATTCTCTTGAGTTTTAGCGTTTTCACCAGATCAGATGAGTGATTTAGAAAAATGATCTGGTAACCTTTGTTCTGTTCCATTCCATCACAGGACAATGGAATCAGTGATGAAGAAATCCACCCAGGGAAAGAGGATGTGATGGATGTATTTAACAAAGTGGGGAGGGCAGAAGGGGAGGGAGGAGAATGGAGCCTACGCACTTCACAACTACTTAATTTTTCTAAATTAAAAAAAAAAAAAACTACAATAACTAGAGCCAGCTCTTACCTATGCCTCTCACTTTCACAGATCTGTGCAGCTGAAGTATATCTGGATAGCGTATATTGCAGTGACTCTGAAACAATACTGCTCTGATGCATGGCACTGCTTTCATTGTAAACATATGCTAGCCACGTAAGTCCTGAATAAAGTATAGTGTTTTTATTTGAATGGAAGTTCCTAAAATGAGCACTTACAGTCTGTGTGCAGCTTGCTATTCCTTCCTCCTCAACATCATACTCTGAATAGCCCTTAAATTTTTCCAAATTGCAGATTTCAGCTAGTTTAGAAATCCACAGGGACTTTGAATGAACAACTTCCATTCAGCAAAAAATCTCTACTAGGTGAAGTATTTTGGGCCAGATCCAACACCGCTGCTAGTGGCCTCCTTGTTTTCAGCAAGACACAGCTCTGTCCCCTGAGCCTTTCTCCCCACAAGAGTAGTGTACAGGCAAGGCTGTGTTGTACCAAAGGTAGTCCCCCTTTGTCCATGAGGGGATGGGACATTGTTAATGTCTCAATCAATGAACTCGGGGTTATTTTGACAAGCCATTCCCAACTCTTAGCCAAATCCATCAAACTAGGGTTTGCCTGTACAATGCAAATGCTTCTGAGCTAGCTGGAGACTGCAGCCTGCTCCCTAATGTTATTAGTACATTGTTTAATATGGAGTAATTTCTCCCCAGAGTCGTTCTTATGCAGCCTCTTGGCCTCTGGAAGGGCTCATGGGAACAAACACTTGCAGGGCTCGGCTCTTTGTCACACATCTTTCCAAGTCAGCATTTCCCTGGACTCAGGTTACACCAGGCTCTGCAGTGAGCTCACAATAACACCTTGTATCTGAAATTGAGGATGGATGTGAATGTGCTTGTATTAGAAGCAGTTGAGAGTGATTTGCATTTTGTGTGCATTCAGGCTTATAGAGATTTGATTTCCCATACATGACTGAAATGATTTAGGTAGCAGACTTTATCACCCAGCATCTTTATTGTAATGGATACAGTTGGGAACGTTTCTTGTTTTTGCATTAAAGTTAACTTTGAAACAGGAGCTGTCAGCTCTGCCTCGCAGCAGCACAAAGCTCTTCATTCTAGAACACACATTATGTTTGATGCACTGTCGAGGTCTACTGAGCCCCGACAGATGAAGGGGCTGGTTATTTTAAATCCACCAGTTTATCCACAGCAGCTTGAAGAGCAGCACTAGGCTTTCTGCAATACGTGCTTTGAGATGTGGTCTTTTCATCATTATGCAGTAGCCTCAGGAAAGATACTTGATCCTTACTTTGGTTATCAGCCTTCAGTTTTCCAAGCGAAACCCTCAGCATCCTGCTCATGAATGCATAATTGCTATGGTTTAGACTTCATCAAAATGTCCAGAATGAATGACCTGGAGCTGAAGAAAAAACCTGATAGATTCTCTACTGCCCAATCAAAATCCTAAATTAACAGAATCTCATCTGTGAAGGGTTGTTCAATTCTCTCTTGAATCCAGCAATACTCCCTGCAATGTATGTGCTGCAAATAGATGAATAAAACATTTTCAGGCTTTTCAGAAGTGAAATGAGACTCTTTCTTTTATGCTTTCAGCTTAGCAGGAGCTGTGCTTTAACAACTGATGGGTGTACAATATAAAATTTGAGCACACAGCAGAATTAAGTCGTGGTAGCTTGGTTTTGCTGCATAAACTGAATGATCACATTCCACCAAAATCTCTCTTGAATGACCTAGAGTGAAAAGTATTCTTTATGTGGCACAAATTATTAAAGGAAGCAACGCCTCTATAAAGCAATTGTTCTGTTTCCTGCTTTTCAACCACTCTCACTGAAAGCACAAGCGTGGACTTTTTTCAGATTGCTTAGTGTGCATAAGCTGGACTTAAAGTCTGTATTATTATACTGAAATATGTAAACTTCACGTGACAAAAACTGTGTATTATTTTCTACTGAGCTGTATAAAACACAGATGGCTTTTGAGGCGTAAGACTGAACCTTGTTCAGAGGGATATATGTATACACCTGAGTACAATAACAAATGCATACTGGGTGATTGCTTGGACTAGTAGGATTCAAAACTGAGCACATACAGCTCATGATAGCAATTAAAACCATAATAGCAAGAAGTAAAAAAATTTAAAATGGGTAGAAAGCATGTTGTGAACACCTTTCTT